GGGTCCCCATTTTCACCGGAACAGGCCATTTAACCATCCAAATGATTTCTAAACGGGTTTATTAAGCTGAAAAAGTTGCCAAGTTCCCCTTTAAAGCATCTGGCTGCTCTATGTGAAAAAACAGGATCTTTCCACAAACTGAAGGATTTCTTTTATAATCTCCTGCTGAGCTCAGGGGGAACTAAATAAACAGGTCTGTGGCTATGAGACTGAGGTCAGGTAACAGTCAAATATCAGATTCCCTGCTTTGTTACCTGAAGTCTTATAGTATAATAGTATAAAGTCTCACCTGGTTGAGTTTGCAGGGCACCTCAGGGTACTCCTCGCGTAGTACCTGGCAGAAGGCCAGAGTGCTGGCAGCTCCTACTGTCAGGAAGCCTGTACCAGGCATCAGCAGCTTCTCGCCTGCTCCTCCTGTGGCACAGAACAATAGAAGGCATAAAACTATACAAACACATCGAGTTGTGGTTGAGGTGACTGTAGACCCAAATCAAGCAAAGCAATCCTCTTTCTTGACTATGAAAAAAACTCATACCTGTTTAGCATTCAGCACTCAACTTTACTATTTTGATTCTGATTAACTTAATTAAGTTAATATTGAAACCATAGGACCCATATGACGGGTACATTTCTCCCACTCCTGACTCAAAAATCCGATTCAGTGCATGAAATAATAATAACAATCCAATACGGTCCTCACATCTAATTAATACAGCTTTAACAAATCATGTTTCCTGCTTACTATTAGTACAAGCCTGAAGTACACTGGCTTGAACTATTGCATTAACCTTTTTCTTTCTGTATGTAGAAAAACCAGCTTTTCCGTTAAGTTCTCTCAGTGTTTCTCATATGCAGACACGCAACTCCTCCACCACGTCACGTACATCTGACGGAGGCTGTGCCATTAGTAGAAATGAATGGCTGTAGGAGTCACCTGTTATGAAGGTGTAGGTGCAGCTGGAGTCGTCCCTCACCAAGGGGAAGAAGGCCTTCCATGACACAAATGTGCTGAAGAGTAGTGTCTCAATTACCTGGAGAGTTGACAGGAGATGAAATAATCAGACAAGAATTTGAATTTCATTCTCGTAACGCAGGAGAAGCAACATTCAGACATGATGTAATAGGGGAGCTCTCCAGAACAGCTTTACCACAACTTCTGCTGAGACTAGTCTTACAACTACTTTTACTGCCACCAGTATCTACCAGTATACCAATTAAAAGCAATCAATTGTATATATCCTTACTTGAATGCAATGAAAACTCAAAATCAGCTGGTTTATGTGTGCGTGCTCACCCAGTGTAGGTCTTTGAGAGTCTGGGTGTGTGGTGGTCCCCCCTGCCACCAACTGAAGCCCAGAGAGGAGACGATGTCCGTCACCTTCCCCACCGCCTTCAGCAGGGCCTGCTTCGCCTGCTCTGCTCCTTCTTCTGACCCTGGAACAGAAAGAAGGATTCAGGTCCAACTGATAATGTCCTTCAGGGGGAGTAAGGTCTTCAGAACAGCATTTTAGACCTATATGTGTGACTGTGGTTAGACTGCTAAAAAGGCTAATACGGATAGTTTTTGCTTGAAGCAGCTTTCTATGAAAGTCGGTCCAGCATTTTGATCCGAACTGACATTTTTTAACAAATATTTGTGGTCCCCTGACTTTCCATTTAGCGGCATCAGCAGGTCAAAGTTTCTATTCATTCAGTGAAATATCTCCATATCTAAAGTGCAAATTGCCATAAAATTCTGTGCCTCTAATAGTTCTGAGACCACTGCCTCCACCCCGCAGTCCTGATGGATGAACTCAAGTACCTCTTCATCAACACCTCCTCATCCATTTTTAGCTTCCTTTTTCAACTATTTATCCATTACTCTTGGCTATTTCAATCTTGGCTATTTCATTTATTTGTTAGGGTAAGGGTTAGCCAGTTATCCATTACTTTTAGCTAACTATCTTGCTAAGTTTTCACACACTTTTTTAATGAACTGAGTACTCCACAATCTTTTCATGTACCCCACTGGAGAAATACCCTTGGTTGGGAATCACTGTCCTAGACCAGGAGTTCCCAAACCTTTTCATGTCAAGGACCCCACAATAGATGCACATTAGACTTTAGACCTTACTTCTTATTGCATACAGCCCCCTCCTGATGAGTCTATATACACACCCCTAAACACCTGCCTAACACCTGCCCTACCCTGCCTCTGACTGGCAAGTGTTCTATGCCTTCGTTGGTTTGGTTAGGTTTTAAAATGTCTCAACAATTATTGGATGGATGGAGTTTGATACAGACAGCCATGCCTTTTGGATAGTCTGCTATCATCTGTTTTGTGTGTATCAAACAAAGATTTAAAAAGTATATTTAGGTAATTATCATAATATCATGAATCACATTATTGTACCCAGGATAATCACATGAAATTGTCATATTGTCCCATGCCCACTCCACCCACAGGAGGGACTGCACTTGTGGTGGGTTCAGACAGATGGATGGATGACAGACTGCTATGTAGATGAATGGAAGGATGTGTAACCCGACTTACCCACATTCCCCACTATAGTGGTGAGGTTATCCTTTGTGGTGGAAGAGACGAATGATCGCAGTCTCTCCAGCCGGCTGCTGTCCCTGGAGATCACTGCGACTTTGAAACCTTCACACACACGTCAGATATATTAATCTATAGTGCAGACAGACAAAAACACAACACAAACACAAGTAGGACTAATTCCTCTCACATGAAAATGAATGATTTATCCTAATCTGTTAATCAAGGTCATCAGGAGGATAAATGTAACAGAGCAGCAGATGGTAACTTTCTGCTCAATTCAAACAGAAAAGCTATAGACATGCATTGTCAATCCAAAGCCAGTGCACTCTCATCACAGCGTCCTCTGCACTCACCGGTCAATGCAGAGTGCAGACAGAGTGCAGTAACCCAAATAACTCTTGAACAGAAACAGCACCAAAACCCAAAGATTCAATGTAATTTCACACTCAACTACCTCCAACCATAAAATATGAATTTATAAGATGATGAGAAGTATAGTGCAGAGTCTGAAACTCGTGCTTACATCAATTCCCCTAAGGAATGGCAGAAAAACAAACAATTGATGGATGTTGATGAATGTTTTCTGACGCATAGAACAGCACAGTGTTGTACGTTTTAGGCCAAATAGCTGGTTATCGGATGAATGAATGGATGAATCATGCACATGGAGATAAGCGCGAAAATGTACGACTTTATGCATGCAGACGCTCCGTTAACATCGGATTGATAACCAGTCATTTAACAATTCAAAAACAGAAAATACTCAGAAAGTACTAAATGGACATAAATTAGTCATACATCTAAATGTCTATTCTGCAGTTTATTTCTATTGAGTTCCACTGCGTAAAACCCGACCCTTGTGCGTAAAACTGTATCCACATTCATCAGAGTTTACAGAAAATATCTTTCCTGCTTTAAAGAATACATTGGCTTCACTTCTTGTCCCCTAGAGGCCCCTGGGAGGCTTACCTTTGTCCAGCAGTGCTTTAACTATCCCAGAGCCCACTGTCCCCGCTCCTCCTAGAGCTAACACAACCCTGTCCGAGTTTGACATGCTGGCTGCAGCTGCACAGGCCTGCTGAAGGATGGAGGATGACACGACTGAGTCCGCTGGAAGTGAAGCTGCTGACTTGTGCAGAGGATCTTGGTCATCCCAGGATGCTTTAAATTAAACTCAGGGGCCACAGTTCCGCCCTTCTACCAGTGTCACCGAAGCCACGCCCGCGGGTCAGTAAAGGGCTCACCGCTGTCTTCACCCCAGCACTGTGTATGTGTGTATGTGTGTATGTGTGTTTTCTCGCAGATTAAAACTGAAAATAACTACAAACTCACGTAGAGGCTGATGGAGTAGGGCGTTTAAAAACATAAAATGCTGCCATCTCGTGGATAATACGTGTTTTTCAATATGCTGGGTATAAACCAACTCAGGCAGCAAATTTGTTATTTTTATCCGCTAATTTCATAACAGCTTGTCTACCTTCGGTCTATTTTCAATATATCAAGCTCTCGGTGTAGTTAAGATCCGAGATATTGACTTTAAAGCCATCTATCCTCCGCATAACTCCGCTTCCCCGGCCCGTCCTGATACTCGTACCGCGCGCACCCCCTCTGAAACTGGGAAAACCCGTGCCACGTGACAATGTTTACGTTATCCCGGACAATCAAGAAGAAGCTACCAGCTGCACGGGGACGGCTGTGTGGCCGGAAATGTTTCACACGATCCATTAATAAACACCTGAACGAGTGGCAGGCACAGGTGAGGTTTGTGTCTTTGGTGTGTCCAACTTTCTGCTGCAGCTACCAGGCACCGAGCTCCAACACCAGTACTTTTCTGTTGCACCATTCATAATTCTAGTAATTTAATATTTCTTTGCGATCTGCAAAAGATTATACCTTCTAAAACCCTAAGTACAGCGTTTTCTAAATCTGTGAGAGTCAATCTTTAAATCGGCGAATGTGGAAAACAACATGAGCCTTCGCATCATCTTCTAAATGTGAACTTTTCTGTGGAAATTTGCTGCTACTTCCTTCCCCACTGTGGTCGGCGGTGGAGAGCAATGTGGCCCAACTCTAGAAGTTAGACTCTCCGTTGGTGGATTGTATATTAACCGAACCGAATTGAACCCACATTTCTGAAAACTTTTGGACAAATTCTTTAGATAGTTAGTTTGAATTAGCTGGCACATATTTGTGCTAATTCTGTCGTGAAGTCCTCGCCATAAAAGAGAAACAGTAACAGGTAGGTAACAGCCTAGCAAAACTAGCTAGCTGTTAGTCACTGGGTGAACGGGTTAAGCTAACGTTAATGCTAACGTCAAACTTAGTTGTTTCTTTGGCTGATGTTGTCAAACATTAACGGCCAGTGTGTGACTAATGTCATGTTATAACGACGCTGGTCAACACATTAGTGTGCTCATCATTACACAAGTATATCACCTTTAACGTTACATTCTTGTTTTCTTCTACTCAGGCCAAGAGATAAGTTTCACTTTCTGTTATAAATATAATCGTTTTTACAGTCGAGTCAAATCACAGCGCAGTGTTTCATATGTGATGCAGCTGAGTAAGTAAAGCTTTATTTATATAGTACTTTTTAAAACACACAGTTACAAAGCGCTTCACAAACAAACCATACATATAAACACGTATGTATGGGTGTGTTTATATTTATTAGATATAATTTTATTATTATTTTTATATATATATATATATATATGCATACGTAAACATCCCTAATAACTAGGGAACATATAAATACACTTATGGAAGATAAAACAAGAGGGAAAGAATATATGCCTATGGTTTTGAGGTGCCACTTGAAACAGTCAACGGATTCAGTGAATCTGAGTGGTTGGGGAAGACTGTTCCACAATGTTGGGGCTAAAACAGCAAAGGCACGGTCACCATGGAGATCTGAAATGTAACTGGGGGCAAGGTCATGAAGTGCCTTATATGTAATCAGTAAGATCTTATAGTTGATTCTGAATTTTACAGGAAGCCAATGAAGGGATGCGAGGACAGGAGTAATGTGGGACTGAGGGCTGGTTCTGAACTTTTTCAGTGTTATAGTTCCCTCAGCTTGTGTAGTACATAGTAGTTTTAGGAAAGCTGTATTGCTCCTATATTTGCTGGAAGGTGGTCTGGATATTTTGTAAATACAAGTCTCTGACTGGATGTGTGGAAGCCCATTTCTGCCAATGTGAGAGGGAAAAAAATTCTGTAATTATAATAAGAGACAAAATATTGACTTAAAACCTTAATACAGTAAAATTAATTATTTGTTTATAACATAAATACAGTTACATTAACATTAATAAAATACAATTTGATATTTTTATATAATATAGTAATCAGTATTTTTTTTTTAACAGTTGAATTCAATATCGTGGATGAGCCAATGTACATGGTATCATTGTCAATTTTCATGCCATGGAGTCCGTGGTATTGATATACCACTGTACATACAGTACATTCATTATCAGGGGAGAACAAGTGCCACAGTTCCATCCTTCATTTCAACGTCCTATTTGTCTCCCTCTCAGCTGAATGAAAGAGATGAGCACCTCCATGCAGATTGACGCAGATCTAGTGACCGCCTACGATCACAGTTTGGAGCAGCAAATTGTGGGACGAGGTTCCAATCTGGTGTGTACAGATGAGGAGCTGTGGAAGCAGGTGGAGGTGCTGTTGAGGGACGGGGATGCTCAGGAGACACACTGCCTGGGTCTGGATCCACTGAAGGTGATGGAGGAGTCGCTCAAAGCTGCAGCGGCAGCAGCCAACGCTGGGCGGGTCAAAGCCAGAGGAGGGCTTCGAGGCCTGGCCAAAGCTTTCGAGGTCGTGGAGCAAGCTGCCTTGAACCTCTACCTGGGTCCCTGGCGGGAGGAGTACAAAGTTGTCAAGGTTGGCTAAAAAAGCTGGAATAATGTCTTGCATCAAATTTCTGATTGAAATATGATATTGGTGAAAACCTGATATATTTCCCCATTATTGATTTGTTTGTTTTCATCCTCTTCTCTCTTGTGTCCCAGATGTACTCCGGTATGTTCACCCACTACATCAAACCGGTGCTGTCGATGCCACAGATTGAGAAACTATTCGGCCTGCTGGGGTACCAGCCCAGCTCACCTCGGCGTGAGCAGCTCCGTCTCCAGTCGCCCAGAGTCAGTCCAGCCTGCCTGGACGACCTCCTCCGCTTGTCATGTGCCTTCTTCCTGGCCCGCTGCGAGTGTCACCTCCTACTGACAGCTTTGGGGAAGCACGCTGGTGAGGTGCAGTGGGAGCTGAGTGTGGTGAGGGAGAGGCAGAGAGGAAACAGCCTACAGGTATGTCTACCAATCATTCGACCATGGGTGAGGTCTGTCATTTAAAATGCAGAATCCGTCACGTCTTTTGTGGAGAGGGGATGCTTTCCTCTTCTGCAGCCACCTTAGATAATTAAGGGGAAATTTGAGGGGAAAACTGGGTTTGAAGAGGTTAAAGCCCCACTCAGACAGCATGTATTTCTTTAGGAGAGATTGGGTCAGTCATCCCATTCATGTCCTATCCTGTCAATGATTGTTATTCACTTATTTCACATTTACCGTTGGAGATACCAGAACATACAAAAAAATATATACCTACATGCCTAAACTAATAATATTTAAATAATGTTGGTGAAACTGGTGATTGGACAAAATTGTGAGGTTGTGCAGAATTCACAGGGATTGGTGGAAATTGTTCCTGGAGGGACAGCCTATTGCCACTGGGTATTGTTTGAAATACTCTGACACTTATTGTCATCTTTCAGTACTTGACAGTTTTCGATCCTCACTGCTATGGACACATACCACTCAGTCATCACCGAAGCATCAACTTGATCTAACCCTTGTGAACTGTAAATAAATGTAAACTGTTGAGGATTTATTGTCCGTGTATCTCCACAGGTTGCTCTGGAGAACACCAAGAAGACGCTGGAGGTCAACCAGCCTCTGATGGAGCCGTTTGATGAAGTAGATCTGTACACAGATGAGCAGGTTAATGGGGTGCCAAGGGAGGCGGTTGTCAATGATGAGAGTCCCCGCTCTTTAACCTGGGTGACTCAAAGCGGTGCATCACCCCCTGTCAAATCACATGGCAACGGAGTTTCTTCATTGTCCTCCTCCCTGCCTGCCAGAGAGGACGTCTGCATCTCTACACTCAACTGCCAGCTGACCAAGACTTCCCCACTGGATTCAGACACTACCAGAAGCTCCTCCGCCAGCACCAAGCAACGCAAACGTCCCAGTGAAGACTTGATGTTTGACAGAGCGGACTCACTGTCACGCAGTCTGCAGGTAGACGCAGTAGGGTGTTGGAGGAGCAAAGATGAAGCAGACTACTCTTGCAGTTGTCTCCAATCTCCTAATGTTAGTCTTAAACTCTGTCTTCAATGCAACACTGTGCACGATATCACCTGTGCCTTCCATGAGTGTTACTCCGCAGAGAACCACCATGTGGTATCTCCTGACAGTACGAGAGAAGAGATGGAAGAACTGAGAGCAGCGTCGCCGCAGGGTGGAAGCCTCAGAGTAAGTGGTATGAGTGCGTCGCCAACTCTCAGCAGCAGCAGTGCAGCAATGTCCTCCTTAGTTCTGTGTGATGACCCTGAATCACTACTTCCATCTCGTCATCCATACGCCTACCACGTCTGCTGCGTCCTCAACCCGCCGGACCCTCAGGTTCTTTGTCTCAGCTGCGGCGTCTTCCACTCTGGTTCCTGCAAAGAGATAGACTTCTGCCAAGGTCACCACAAGATCAAGCAACTGGGAGTGTGCCCCTGTGGGAGGGCGAGTTCCAAAAAGCCTCTGGTTCTGTGCCGATATTGTGGACGTGAGTTTTGTAGGGAATGTTGGTATAGAAGTCCTGTTGAATGCATCTGTGGCCAAACGTTTGACCAGTCATCCTCTGTGTGATTTGTATCGGAATAGAATTGCACTAATGAGGCACAACTAGCAAAATCACAGTAGTGCCTTAAATCTGCGTACTGGAGACGAAAATCCAAGTACACTAAATCAGAAAGTCAAATGTTGCCTTGACACAGTACTGAAATGCAGTATTAAGTGTGCTTTGATTTTTCTATTTTGGTCCTCTTTCTGAGACTGTCATTACTCTGCATTCTTCTAAGTGGCCATATTTACTGTTGTCAACCTTGCTGAAATATTGTGTATAGTTGAGACTTGGTTTGTGTTCTAAGTGTAATTTACTGTGAAGCACAAGGACGTTTGTTTTCATCTGTATTTGTTGCCTGCGCACAGACTGCAGTAAAAAAGGGTCAATATGCCACCTGTCTGTGTTAAATGTGCTTTATAATTCAAGAGCAAGTTACTTTCAAAAGGCACTGCAATCAGCAATCACAATCAAAATATTATTGAATCATAATCAGTGAATATGCTGACTTTTTTGACAATTTATTGATTAAGCGCTTGTTTGATAAAATGTCAGAATAGGCTAATTTGATGTGTTTAGATTACTTGTTTTTTCCAACCAACAGTCTGAAAGAGTTATTCAGTGCAATAAAGGACTTTGGCACCTGGAAAAATACCTTAAAGCTCCAGTGTGTAGGATTTAGTGACACCTAGTGGTGTAGTTGCAAATTGCAAGTCACTCATTTCACCCTCCCCTTCCAAGCTTTAAGTTTGTCCCTTCTGGGCTACTGTAGAAACATTGCTCTTATTTTCAAGTGGTTATACACTAAACGTTAAACACATACCTATGAATATTATATTCCATTTCTGCCAATGGATCCTCCTAAATGTTACACACTGGAGCTTTAAATGACTAATTGTTTCAACCAAGTATTATTATGTTTCAGTTGACACAAGAAAACAGTGCTTTTAAACACAATGGGTAGGGAGTGGCAATGTAATGTGTGTTTATGATGACCTGTATGTCAAAATGTTACCTTTTCAGAAAATAAATGTCTTTTTAAGCTTGCTTACAGAACAGTAGTGGGTTCATTTAATCGGTATAAATCCTGATTACAGTCAAATTTGGAGGTGCATGCTTTTCATTGGATGGATTCAAATTGAATATTCAGCCCGTAGCTTAACTGTCCATCATTTAGTATTAGACATTTAGTCTTTTGAAAATTATCTTGTTGAGAAAACTGCATAAGAATGACATAACATTTTATGATCAACATTTTAATGACACAAACAAATACTGGCCATGGATATGTGAAAGACTGACGCGCACAAACATGAACCTGTGTGCAGGTACCATTTTCTTAAAGCTGTTCAATTCGCATCTGTTTTTTCTGGGTCATGCCCGCTCATGTCCCAAACATGTCTGGAGCCCAAACTTGATAAAGTTCATGTACATTCATCCTTTTTTCCATTCTTGTGTAAGTCCTTTAGAATGACCAGCATTTACTGAATTGTGTTAAGAGTTGAACAAAAGTGAGTCACTGAGGAAAATGGTTAACACTTTGCTCCCCAAGCATTTTGCACTAATTTGCTATTCAGTTGCGTTTTCATTTCGATGGTGCCAGATAAGGGTCACACATTTATGACTCATTTTATCATGAACCTATCAGCCACTGTATTCATTATACATAGACCTGAGGAGCACATTTATGACCACTGCTTTTAAGGTTTCCACCTTGCAGCTTCATCCTGATACTGATCTCTTCTCTCCAGAAACCAAAATGTATCACTTCTGCAAGCCAGATTTTTCACATGAAAATAAAGCGTCTACTCGAAAGAGCAAACGTAAAACGCTTTCATCTGTACAGTGTAGATCAGAGATCATTAATGCAGTCTTACAGTTTCTTCTGTAAATGTTTGTGGTCTGTCCTGAGGATCTTCTATTCATTGTATGCCTGCCAGTTGATGTTGATGAAGGTCTTGCTGTCCATGCGGTCGATGTAGAGGACCCCATCCAGGTGGTCCATCTCGTGCTGGAGGATGCGAGCTGGCCAGCCACTGGCCTGCCACGCAACAGCTTCACCCTTCTCATTAAGACCTGCAGGGTGAACATGCAGAAATTAAGAAATGAGAAAAAGTTACAGAAATACATTAGAAATGGACCCTTCCCAAGTCCCGCCCCGTTTGCTCTGTGCTCCAATAACAGTTGAGAAAGCCCGAGTCAGAACCTCTGCCAACTTCCTTTCCTTGTACTTGTACTGCTGTATGTTTTGGGTGTTTGTGTGTTTAGTGTGTTTTAGTCTCAGCAAATGAGATTTGGCACAACATCTGAAAGGCACTGTTTTATAGGAAAAACAGGATTAAGCTATAAATATGCGCACCAGACACTTCCACAGACAGGTAGCGTGGAACTGTGGCAGAGAAGCCTGAGAGGCTCTCACAGGCCTCCTGAAAGAGCACGGTTCGTCCATCCATGACCCTCAGCTGGGGGTTGACAAAGACCCTCAGAGGCTGGACGGAAATACCGCGGACCTCCCTTGCTGCGGGCGAACAGTCTTCCAACATCTTCTCGGGATATTCCAAGGCCAGGATGCGGAGCGGCACGCCAATCTGAGGCGCGCTCAGTCCCACACACTCAAATTTCCGCATCACTTTGACCATAGTGTTGATGACCTGTTGGACCTCAGGGCCCGTTACAGCTGCAGGGTCAACAGCTGCTGCATGTGAACGCAGCATTGGGTCCCCTACTTGGCACACGTGACAGTACGGAGGACTGGGAGGGGGTTTGATCTTGTGCTTCAAGTATTGAAGATAGGAGCGCACTTTGACGTTGCTGGAGTAAGAGTGGCTGCAGGTTACAGGCGAGTGGGGTGAGATTCGCCGAAGACAAGCTGAAGTTATTAAACCCAAGGCCCCGGCTGTGCAGCGGGGGGGTGTTAATGCACAAAGTCTGAACCCCCTCCTGGAGAACTGGAGCAGAGACGCACATGATTTTGTGTTCATGGTGGAGCTGCAGTGAGCTGATGTGTCACACGTCAGGGTGGGTGATGTACAGTGCTGCAGGAAAATCATACAAAAGGACATTTAGTCAAAGTAAGTTCTTAACTGTTGCCACATTTTAAGATTTGATAAATCCCTGCTTTGATGGCAATGAGACATTTTCATTCAGGTCCAATCTCTCAATACACTATATGTCCAAAAGTATGTGGACAGACAACAATAAACCTGCATGTGAATGGAGAACATGTCATTCCAAAACCATGGGCTTTCATTTGCTGCTTTAACTTCCTCCACTCCTGTGCTTTCAGGCTGTCCACCTGATTTTGGACCCTGGCTGCAAAGATCTGCCCCGACTCAGCATTACTGAGGTCCAGTATGGATGCGGATAAGGCCTGACTCACTGTCAGTGTTTCACTTCATCCCAGCGGTGTTGGATATGGTTGAGGCCAGGGCTCTGTGTGGGCCTGGCTTTATGCACGTGTGGCATGGCCCAAACAGGAAGTATACAGACAGGGTCACACTATTGGCCATTTAGTGTAGTAGAGCCTTTCCAGTAAGCCACCATGCTCAACAGCAGCAGCCTGACTCCGTTTGAGCTGAATGGAACTGGACTTTAATCAGTGTCATTGCTAACAACTGTGAAAATGTCTATTTGAATGCAATCACAGCATACTGCAAATGACTGATGGCATGAGCTCTTGCTTTTGGAGAAAAATGTCTACTACCACCACTGGGAGGCGCCATTGTTGAAACATTTCTAATGGAGACTCCATAGGAACATTTTAGTTATTTTTTTAAATCATATATAAATATATATCTTTGCCGAATAACAAAATACATGTAGTTACTCTGGCGCAGCGCAGAAAGCCTAGCTTATTAACAGTCAAACACCACCCACGGGGGAGGCAGGTGCTATGAAACATGCGCTCCCATTCAAAAGCTACCACAAGCAACAAAGCTAAGTCGTAAGCATGTTAGTGTAGTTATATTTAAAATACGCTACTTATGCTACCAACTAAGCCTAGTATTAACATTTAAAGACACCGAGTATCTCCGTTACCTCACACTAATGTGTACACGTCCACGCTAACTCAAAAGGACCACATACTCAGGACAGAAGGTGACAACAGGGTAAGAGACTCTGTCAAAGTAGTTCCGGGTCAACAACATCGTGCGTCACATTCACACTCACTTCACAATAAAAGTCTACGTGCTTTTGCCTGTGGTTATATATCACAATTCATTGAAAAACCTTTATTTTGACAACGACCAGGGAGCTTGTATAGGAAGTAGTTTGAAACGTTTTCAAATCGAAACAAAACAGTGCCAGAACTGAGGGGTGTTAGGGTTACACTTCCTCAACTTGCCTCTACATGTCCAGCCGAGTGGGTGATCCACATCCCATTCATGAATGAGTTTAAAAGCTCAGCGGGTGATCCCCGGTACTCTGTCCTTTCACAAGCCCTGCGGAGCTGAAGTATCACCGAGCCCTGATGGAAGGAGCACAGCAGTCTGTCCATAAATGTTTACAGAGCTTCCCAAAGTTCCCGCTGTGGATCATAGAGCACGTCTGGGCTCACAAGATGATGGATATACAGCAAGGTTGGTTTTTAGGGATTTCTAATCTATGTTACCTTATATTTTAAATATTGTACTTTGTTCTCCACTACATGTATTGAACAGTGATTCCTGCTGGTTGTTTTACTTCACTCATTAATAATTTACATGTAAATAATGTGATCAGTTTATAAATTATGATGCACTGTTACATTAAACTACTCAACATTATATAACTCAGTTAAAATTAGCTCCATTAGCTTCATTAGCATTGAAATGTTGCCTACATGTTAATTCACGAGTGATCCAATAATATGAAATATACTGTTATATAACACTCTGAAAAAATAGTGTACTTATAAGTACTTTGAATTCTGATACTTAAAGAGACTGCTATACTTTTACTTAAAGGTACTACAATGAGTTTTTTACTGGTTATGAAACAGTCTCAGTTTGAAACTGAAGCCTCTATATGACCTACAGAAACAAACAAGACCATCAGCAAGAAGATTGGCTGTTTATTTGTAGTTAGTTTTAATGCCTACTACTGCCAGAATCAACACAAAAGTTCCCTGCAGGGGCTTGAAGTAAAACTGTGCATACATGACTTTTACTTATAACGCAGTATCAGGGTTTAGAGTAGGGCTGCACAATAAATCGAAACATTCACAGAATCAGTATGCAGATTGCAAGAGCTGCACTGTTTTAATAAAGGTAAAATGTGTGTCAAACAGCATTATAATGAGGCTTTGTAGGGCTGCAGAGATGGCCCGGCCGACAAATGTTGTTGTTCTCCAGATTTAAGAAAACATGTTTTCCCCAAAAGTATGATTTTTGTTCATTTATTTATTTTTTTTAGTAAAAAATAAATACAATGATTGTGAATCTGTCAAAAAATAAGAATATGTTATTTTAACCACATTGTGCAGCCCTTGTTTGGAGGTTTACTTTAAAGATGAGATCTGATACAATTACTAATTACTTTTTTTATTTTTTTATTAATTTAGTCAGTAACCTAATCCAAGTATCACAATATTAAAGTAATGTAACTTGATTACTTTCTGTTACTTTTGGATTACCACAACACCAAATATGTAAATAAGAACAAGAAAAAGAAAAGGGATGCCAGTAAGAAGTACTGATGCAAGTAAATCCACCCAAATGTATTGGGTTCTGTCTTGGACCATGTTACACCCTTCCACAAAGTTTCATGAAATATGGGACAGTAGTTTTTCCATAATCCTGCTGACAAAGAAATATACAGCACTGAAAACATAACCCCCGTGGCGGTATATAATTAAAAACATTTTGGAGCAGTCACTGTAAAACATAGTAGATCACTCTCTTAAAATAAATGATAAAAATCTGCCTTGTTCTTCACAGCTGTGGACTCTTCTTCCTGGCCAGAAGTGGACTCCCAGCCTCTGAGCCTTGAAGATTCATGGAGGCTGCGTGTTGCCTCTGCTAAGGTATATTCCATCATGAGGAGCAGGGACATGCAGCACTTTGAGA